AATCATGCATGACACGATAGATCATGGACACCTACATGCACAGACATGACCTTGATCACAGCCGTAAATCCGACACAACCGTCTCTCTTGCCCATGTGCACTCTAGACCCGATGGATGGGAGTTTTGTTTCTTGCCATCATAGCCAGCCTGCCAGACTGCCTAGGGGGTACCAGCTGCAAGAAGAAACTGTTCAAGTCCAAGGGGCGGCCCTTTTCCTTCTCTTCTCTTCTCCTCTCCTCTCTTCTTTCTTCCTTTGCTATTCTGCTCGACGAGGATTCAAAGCGAGCAAGAAGGAAAAAAAGGATACCATGAAAAGATCGTCTGGAAAAGAAACAAGAAGCAGGAATAAAAAGGAAAGAAGTGGAAAATCGCTGCAGCACCGCTAATGCGCATACCGCAGACCATGCTTGGTAGGCAGACAAACACACATGCAACGCCGTTGCCCAATGCTATTATGTATCCCCCCTCCCGCCCCAATTGCCGCCTTACTAGCCCCATCCCAAGTAAGATACACACTTCATCCCCACCCACTCATCAATTTCCCAATCCATCAAAACTCCCAAATCCCGTCTTCTCTCAAGCAAAAAAGAAACAGAAAAGAAAGATGAAATAAACCACAAGTTCCCTTGACCACTACATCCTCACGAATACTGCATCTCCACATCCTCCTGTCCCTGATCCGCAATACTCTGCATATCGCTATCAAGCACAATGGGTCCTGGCGCCGGCGGTGCAGGCTCCGCTTCGGCAACAGTCTCGTTGAGCACGCTCTGAGCAGCCACCCCGTTGGCCAGCTCGTTCGACGGGCGCGGCTTGCGGACTGGCAGGATACTGTCCTGAAACGTCTTTTGGCCGGCTCGGCACGCGGCCGTGAACCACTGTGCAAGGCGGTGCTTGTCCAGATGCTCACGCATCAAGTCGTCGTCGAGGAGGTTGTCCTTGATGATGGGGTTGCGAATGTCCTCGTTGGCAAAGCGGACGCAGAGCTCGCCGTGCGTGGCACCCGCACCCAAAAGTTCCTCGAGCTTCTTGGGCCAGGCAACCTTGGCGAACGGGTCTTCGTCTGGGTAATGGTTAGCTAGATTCCGACTCTCGATGCGGCATACCAAACTCACGAATCATCTTGGTGAGACCCTGAAACGTCCACCCTACCGCCGTGTGCCGGAGGAAGTCGTGTAGTGTCGCGTCTGAAACGTTCTTCGTATTGTTGATGGCGACCCAGTCGTCCTTGAGGCAGAGACGCTTCCAGACGAGCTTGAGTAGACCGTCGCGGGTCGTCCGGTGGATGTTGTGCCAGCTGATGACGAGCACCCTCAAGGCAAACAAAAATTCATTGCCCTGCAGCGGCAAAACGCCTTCTTCACTGTCATCCGTATTCATCAGCGTCAAAATGTCAATCATGAGTGCTGGATCAATCACGCGGTGATGAACAAGATTGTCGAAACCTTCCTTGAGGATCGCTTGATGTGCCGGCCGGTCCTTGAGGCGACCCTGCCCAAACTCGGTCATGAGCAGGTCAACAGCAAAATCCTTGTCAGCAGCCCCTTCAATAACGTGGGCCAAGCTATCGTAGACTTGGTCTTGAATCTTCGTAAACTCGAGCTGTTGCTTGATGCTCTGGAACTGGTTTTCACGCATCTTCTCCGCCTTGTTCTTGGGGGGGGGCGTAGTCGTCTTGAACTTCTCGCCCTCCTTCTTTTCATCTTTGCAAAGCATTGCAAGCTTCGCAATCGAGAGCTCCACACGCTGACACCATGCATTCGTCTCCTGCTTTGTGCTAGCCTCGTAGAGAGACGCCGCGGCAGCTTCGTAATTCTTCTCGGTTGCCACTTCGTGGATCCATGCAATTCTGGCACGCGATGCATCTGCACGCAGGAACTTTGTGAGCGCGGGTTGGTTGAGGTACTCCCTCATAAACAGCTGCGCAGCTTGGTTCTCTTTGATGTATTTGGAGTAGAATGCCCTAGCCCATTCATCACCATAGGTCTGGAAGTACCGAGTGATGCGATCCTTGATTCGGCCTAGCTTGATGGTGCTCTCGGCTTGCTCCATCTTACTTCGTGTGTTGGCCTTTTCATTCTCCAGCCAGTTCGACTCTTCCCAGACAAGGTCGACGAGGGTGTCCATGTCATGGTATTGCTCGGCAAGTGACATGCCTTCGGTCGCCAACCCAATCTCCATGAGACCGAGAATGTGATTTGGTCGCACGTTCTTGTTCCATTCGGACCTAACGTTACGCCCTGTTTCCCTCGTCTTCTCGTCGTTTTGAGCCAGCGCCCATTGAAACCGCTCGATATGAGTTTGGCAGCCGAGCTTGACTAGCTTAGGATTGTCCTTGCCAATCTTTTGCGCCAGACTCTCCTGATGACCTTCCTCGAAGTTTTCAACTGCCAGGTTACGCCCAACATCGATCAGACTGCGAATCGAGCTGACAATGTTGTGAGACGATGTCCAGAACTGGGGCAGTAGATCGTAGCCATGGTTGGGTTTAAGAACGCCATCTTCAAGGCAGTCTGGATCGAGGCCATAGAGTTCCAGGTTAGCTGCTCGGAACCTGAAGGCTTCGCTCAACGTTTCGTATATTACGTCATTTCCTTCGCTGACTCTCTGCATGATGGATCGCGGCTCCTTGACTCCATCCTTCATGTAGAACGTGCGCAAGTAAAACCAAGCCCAGGGAAGAAGGATACCCAGGGATTCAACATCCCTCAGGAAGAATTGCCTAATCGCGTCTGTTTCGCCAATCTCCGGGTTGATAGCAGTCTTGTAGCGCTCGTTGAGCGCTCTCACAATGTCCCCCATCAGAATGGGCTCTGGAAAGGCGTCGGGGTTTTTTTGCTGTTCTCCAAGTTTCTTCTGATACCAGGTCCACAACGCATGTGTGGCAGCAAGCTTCTCGGCGTGCCAGAGAAGTCGCCACTTCGTCTGGGTGGATAGAGGTGTATAATCGGACTGTAATTGAGATGCCAATGTCTTTAGTGCAGAGGCTCGCTTGCGGAACTGATCATCCATGGACGATGTGACCTTGTCAAGGTATTCGTAAGAGGACTTCAAAATCTCAGAACTAATGTATACTGCAGCTTTCGCCGTCTCCTCTTCGGAGAACGAAAAGCGTGATTTAACGGAGAAATCGAGGATGTTACCTGGGACTGTGCTGAAGAAAGTGGCCTGTTCGAGCTTGCTGCGCGCCGTAACCTTCATTCTCTCCGTTTCTTCCTCGTTCGTCGTGGGTGGTTGCGCACTGATTTGTAAAAGCCCGAATCCTTGGACGAATATTAGAGCAGCCGCTCGTGGATCTTTTCGTGTTGGCTGCTCCAGTGCGGTCCCTGAAAGAACGATAGACATGTCGTCACGGAAGTATATACTGTCCTGAAATGGGAGGCTGACACTGCCCGAATCAGCGAGCAGTTGCGCCTCGGGACTTTCTTCTGGCTGGACGAGGGAGGCCACAAAGATGGCCCCGGGAAACTCAACGTATGCGGTGTGTCCAGGCTGTGGCAGAAGCAGGGTCCCTTTTGGCTCCTTTGGTAATGTAGTTTGGTTGAAGTTGCGGACCGGTATGACCCTGTTGATTGTTGCGCTAGCCTTGCCCAGATCAATCTCGAGGAGCGAGTAGTTCAGGGACTCTCTTCCAGACAAAGCTACCAAGACTAGAAGACTGGTAACATCTCGGCTCTGCTGCTTTTCCATGATGGCGAAATCTAGTACACGGACGTCTTGCTGACCGCGCGTCTCCACTGCTACGTCTGCTTGGACTGCAGCTAGAATATCAGCCTGTACGTCAATATCTCGCTGGTGGTTATGTTGTCCGGACCAACTCAAATCCCACGTCTGAAAAAGTCCATTCCGCGTCGCCGAAATGACCTCCATGTGACCTTTCGAGCTGGATGGACGGGCCTTGACTGAAGCGATTGCTTTGCGGACCGGGGCTCCAAGCAGGCCTTTGAAGCTGAAGAAGCTACCATTAGAATGGTTGGGTGCGCTCATAATAGTCGTCGTGATGTGCGGTCGTCCCTGCGCATCGCGGAGAGTCAAGTGTGCGAGCCTGCCGCTGCTAAAGATGAGTACATAGCCTGCATGCTCCGCTTCCACCAATGCCGTGATACTTTCGCCAGAGTATAGCTTCGCGGATCCCTCTACGCCCTGCCTGCGCTGTGGATACATGCTCCGGGTGTCTGCGCTGTCAATGTTCTCCCAGAAGCTGATCCTGCCCGAGGAAGGTGCGAGTGCAACAATGCCATAGTCGTTTGTAGGACCATTTCGAACAATCGCCCCGAGTGGCAACGGGTCCGACGCCTTGAGGCCGAAACGAAGAGGTAGTGCGACGACTTTGGTGGGATCGTTGATGGCGTTGTAGTCCCATACAATGGCACGCTCGTGCGTGAGGGCAAGTGCAAGCCCAGCAGAGGAGAGAGCTGTCCCATGGAACGGAGCTAGAGAGTGAGGTCAGCAGACACGCATCTGACTTGGGTGTTGTTGTAACGTACTGTGCAGGCGGAGGAGCGGATTTGGGAACGCTGGCAGCTTCTTGACACTGTAATTTGCATTCTTGGTCTAACATTCGACCCTGGTTAGCATGTTGCGACTCAGACAAACTCAGTGAATGAATGACGCACCAAGTATAAAGCATGATCTTCTTTGGCGGCGCGCTTCGGGGGTGCCTGCTTCTCGCGGACGGGCATGTCGACGAGCACGACCGAGTTCTCCACACTCTGCACCGCATGGCCATTCATCAAATCATGGCTCTTTCCATTCATGTGCATCTCTTCCGGGTCCTGGAACGTCTCGTCGTTGAGTTTGCTTCGTTTGCGACGATGTTGCTGCTGTTGCCCGTCCGAGTTCTTGCGCGGCCGGCGTCGCGGGTTGCGCAGCGAACTGCGTGCGCTCTGGACAGAGGCCTCCGGTGAGAACATGATGGGAGATGGGCGTGAGCTGACGCGATAGAGTCGCGCCCGTAATCTTTCGCTCAGCGCTGCGTTGTTACGGACAGGCAACTTAACGTTAAGAATGCGTCTGTTTTCGTAGCTTACAGTATGACAGGGATATGCTGTCGCCAAGGCGCGCCGAGGACAATAGCGCGTCAATCAGCCGTAGGTTTCACCCTTACTGCTTCAGACAACCTGCATTCACGAACGAGGCAGCTGTCTGAATCTGCGGGACAGGGCGAGTTTCTAGCATTCACGAGACAGCCTGCGGCGATGAGGTGGCTCAAGTCAGACACCAACAGCTACATAGCGTAGCTCATTTCATGTATGTGTCTACAATGGAAGGCAAGGCCTCAGTGACCAGCTATCATGGCAACTCCTCTTCCTTTGCTCTGATTCCCCACAGATATGGCAGGAGTGTCCCCACAGGGACGACGATTACCTGCACTTACTGGGTGTTGCATGGAGCATGGAGCATTAAATCACTGTCAAGATGGAGCTGTGACGACATCAAAGTTTGTTCATTATTCATATCATTACAGATCCATATGCCCTGGATGGAGCGCCGCCATCCAAAGGTCCTGGGGCCCTGAACTCCATTCCAGAGTGTCAAGGTCGTCAGTTGAGAAAGGGAGAAACATAATACAAACGAGATTGTAGAGCTCAAGACCATGGAAACCTCACACCGACGATAGCTTCCCACAAAGTGACGAGCCAGTCGAGTTGCAGCCTTGCCAAAGACATTCCATGTCATCGATGCTCACTTCCTCCCGAAGCTGCCTTGTTGTGCGTAGCTCCAAGGCTTACAACTTCTTGTCATGGTCCTCCTCCTCGACACTCTTGTCGGTGGAGGTGGTGCTCTGCTTCTCAAGCTCCTCGCCCATGGGGCCATGAAGTTCTTCTTCAAAGACGGGCTCTGTCTCGATAGTCTCGAACTTGGTCTTGAAGTCCTTTGTGTTATGAGTGGACGAGTTGCTTCGGCGGCGTTCATTGGCCATGTTGGGCCTGATGTCTTCGAGTTCATCACCGGCGGCACCCCTGGCGAATACTGTCAGTGTGGCTTTCACTACATGCTGGATTGGAACTGTGCTGCTTTGACAGAGACGGGCGAAAGCTGCCACGTATTTGTTCAACGGAAGGTGAATGATGCATGCCATCGATTGGTGCTTCAACTTACCAATTGCCCTTTCCACTGCCACCCTTCTTGGTCTTGGTTGGGTCGGTGTCAGCATGGCCGGACTTTGCAAAGTAACGAGGAAGCCTCGCTTCACGCTCAGCAGTGCCTTCAGCAATGCCGGCGTGGTCACGGTCAGTAAACTTGTGAGAGCGAGTCACTATCCAGCATCAGCCTATGACTCATGTCAAACTGCTGAAGATTACGTGAGGCATTGAGATGGAGAGGGTTGTGGCATGCTCATGCAAGAAAACATGGTGACTACACTACAGCGATGGAGACAATGGGGGGGGTCAATACAATACGTACTGTTTGATGCTGTTTGATGATTGAGATTGATTGAGATCTGAGTGAGATGGGGTCAGAGTCAGATTTGGGCGAAGCTGAGTTGAAGTAGTCAGAGACGGAGAGGATGCGAGCAGGCACAGGAAGCTTTGGTGGGTCAGTACATGGTCTCGTGATGGAGCTTGGACCACCATGGCGTCGTCGTGCGTGAAAGCAGCGTGACGGGCGTAGGGTGCAGCGTACCTTGCAGAAACGGCTTTGGAGGGAGGTTGAGTCTCAGTGCAGTATGTCGTGCCTCTTCGATTGTGTCAGAAATGCAAATGAAGGGAGTCTGGAAGTGGGAGTGTTTATGGGGGGGGACAAAGGGGAAGGGTGATCCGAGCACGCGACAAGTAGTAGAGTTGCAAAGGCGGGGAAGTTGCGTCAACTTCCCCTCCATTCGCATGGCAACGATCGGCTATTTGGAAGGCAAACAAGGATCTCTGGAAGTTTCGGCAGCGTCTTGGGAAGATTCCAGCGCATCTTGTTGTCTGCTGTAGATACGGTACATTGAGCGCGCTGGACCGCCAGATGGGTGTTGGCGTTGTTGTCAATTGTGCTGTGTATCCTTTCCATCGGAGGAGGATGGAATGGAACAACGTCATCGGTACCTGCATGAAGGCCTTACCTATCGAGCTACCCAGCGTTGGTACAGGGGGAGACGACCATGGATCGAGTCAGTATTCTTGGCTCAGCGTTACGGTGCGGTGTACTGTCGACTTCTTTCTCGCTCATGACGGTGAGGGGCAACAGGTGTCGTATTACTGTGGCAACATACGGCAGCAGTCCACAGTCCACAGTCCACAGTCCACAGTCCACAGTCCACAGTCCACAGTCCACAGTCCACAGTCCACAGTCCACAGTCCACAGTCATCTCCCGACAGCGCGAGTTGGGTCCATGAGGTGCAAGTCGAGTTACCGGGTACAATGTAGCTAGCTTTCTGGAAGTGAAGTGAGCTCGGCCAGAAACCTGGGGTAAGCAAACACGCTACTGGGCACTCACTCGGTGTCACCTGACCGTCACGCCGACACTCCCACCGATACCTACGCTCTACCAGAATTGCACCATCCTCATGCTCTACTCTACTATGTATGTACTCTAGTAGTAAACCATAGACCACAAGTAGGGAGACACCTCCGGTCGGTGCTGCACTAACCAGTCTGACACTCCCCCGACGAATCACGGCAGACGGGCGTAATCACCCCACCAAACACGCCTTCTCCGAGGCCGGCTGACGCTGACTGCTTTTGTACGGTACCGGTACAAGTTGCGCGACCGCGTCTCGGGCTGATTGCTCAGCGATAGCAAGACACAACTCCCAACAAGAAATACTACCGTCACAGTGCAGATACATACCGCCTCTTCTTGAACCTACATTGTTCCACTCACAACACCCTCTTTTCTGTGACGACCTCGACCTTTGGATTCCTGCCAGCGCCAAAATCCTCGCTCTCACACAAACACCGGCTCATTTCGCCCATCCTTCGCCATACCCCGCCATGGCCCACACACTCCTTGTTGCACCCGCCAGCGTCGCTGCGCACCCCGAACAGTTGGACAAGGTTCTTGAAAACTACAATCGCAATGCAACAGAACTTCAGATGCTTGACCGCATCGCAGCCGGCCTTGTCAATCTCCCCGCCGCCACCTACGACGTCATCCTTGTCCTCACCGACGCCGACGGTACCACACGTGAGGCGCACAAACTTCTGACTAGGGATGTCATGAACAGAATCTTTGGCGCCCTGAAGGTCGGCGGCCTTCTGAAGAGTCAGGCTGGCGCCTTTGAAGGTTCGGAGAGGACCGAGGCCATTCTCGCCGGCCTCACCGAGACGGCAGACGGCATGGTGAAGCCAGAGCAAGCAGAGAGCGTGTCCATACCCCTCAAATTTGGCAAGAACAAGTCTGCAAATGGAACCAATGGAACAAATCAGACGAATGGCGTCAACGGCACAGCTAATGTAGCCGCCTCAGTCCCCCTAAACCTCAATGGCAAACGCGGCAATCCCGAGCCTGCTAAGCCCTTGGGCGTCGGCTTCGTCGACTTCAGCGATGACCTCGACGACCCCATCATCACAGGCGAGGACGACGACCTAATTGACGAAGACGACCTCATCACAGAAGAAGACATGGCACGACCAGTCCTCCAACGTACGTCACTTCCTCCCCCACCCCCGCCACCCCCACAATCAATTCACTAACAGTCCCCTTCACAGCACCAGAGTGCCGCCCCAAAGCCGGCAAGCGCCGACGCGCCTGCAAAGACTGCACCTGCGGCATGAAGGAGAGACTCGAGGCCGAAGACGCCGCGAAACGCGCAGAGGCCGACAAGGCGCTCAACAGCCTGAAACTGGACGAAGACGACCTCGCAGAAGTCGACTTTACAGTCCAGGGCAAGGTCGGCAGCTGTGGAAACTGCGCACTTGGTGATGCTTTTCGCTGTGACGGCTGCCCGTACATTGGTCTACCGGCTTTTAAACCCGGAGAGGAGGTCAGGTTGCTGAATAATGATATCCAGTTGTAGATGAGGGGCGAGGGGGCGAGGTTTCTTTGAGTGCAAGATGAGATGATTCGCATTGCATGGTTGGCGTTTTGGTTGGGCAGGACTGAAGAGATTCAGGGACTTGTGCGATGGGGGGGTTTTTTTTTGGAATAGAGATTCGGGTGTCTGCTTGGCCTTGGTCTGAGTATACTGGGCGTACTAGGAATGGGCTAGACTGTCGACGTTGCCAATTGCGATGCAGAATGAGTAAGGGTCTATGATTGTATTATACATGTGGATTGATTACCAACCTACATGTATGAAATTCGAAATTGCAGGCTACTACTATTCGCTCTAAGCTACGCAACGCAGGGCGAGAAGGGGGGGCACTCGTGCCAACTTGCCAACCCTGACTCCAGCGCATTGTCCAAGAGTAAAATCGAAAACCGGGTTAACCATCGAAATCACCTCTCACTGGAATTCTCATCTTCATTCTCCATTGTCGTACAACAATCCCATCCATCCTTTTCCAGAGCCCACTCTTGCAATTCACCGACTCACACTCTCCCTCCAAATATCCAATTCATATAAAAACCTTCTCCTCCTTCCCCCGACCCTCCCAATACCCGCCACCAACCCATCTCCCACTTTTCCCCAAAACAGTCCTTATACTACCCCAAGTCTTCCTCCCAGCCTCCTGCTCCCTACCCTTGTCCTTGTCCTGCTCCAGCTGCATCTCCTGCAAGCCCTCGCTCTTCTCCCTCGCTCTCGCATTTCCCTCTAAACCCGCAACCGCATCCCCATTCGTATTCGCACTTGCTCCGTCTGTCCTCCCACCCACACCCTTCGTCTTCTCATCCCCGACCGTCTGTCCGGGGAAAAATCCCAACCCGCCACTCGTCCGACTACTCACAGTCTCGCGCCTCGCGCTCTTGGGCGGGGGTGGCGGCGTAGGCGTAGGGTCCGGGCTCACAGGCATGGACAAGGGCGTGGGTGGCTGCGAGGAGAGGTGTAGGGAAGCGAGACGGGATTGACGCGCGGTGGGACTGAGGGTGCCGTTACGGGAGCGAAAGGCAATGGAGCTGCTGTCTAGGTGTTCGATTGTTGGTTCTTCGTCTGCGCCGTAAAAGGTCAGGTTGCCGGAGAGGTCGCGGGTCATGAGGGTGGGTTTGGTGTTCGTGGTGCCCGTCTTTCTGTTGTTGCTGTTGATTGCTTTGTTGTTGGCGTGGGGAGTGTTGGGGCTAGTGCTGGTAGTGACGGGTAAGGCGGTGGTGGCGGTTGTAGTGGTGGTGGGAGCTGGGGTGAGGGGATTGTTGGTGATGAGGCTAGCTCGAGGTTTTGTACAAGGTGTAGTGTCGAGCACGGAAGTGTCGAAGAAGGGGTAGGCGGAGGATTGGGAGCGAGAATGACTACGTCGTTTTTTCGTGTCTTTCTTGGCATAGGCGGCTGGGCCACCAGAGTGCCGGGATTGGGTGCGTGAATGGATGGATTTGCGCGAGTGTCGTTCCTTGTTCGAGTCCTGGCGGATCATGGGTTTTTGGCTAATCCACTTGGACTTTCTGGCTTCGGTCGTGCGAGAGTTGCGAGCGGCCATCGTTTTGGGTCGTTCTGGAGATGAAAGCACTGTGGATTTTCCATTTGCTTCACTTCTTACAGGCGTGCTACGATGACCCAGATTGTAAGATGAAGATGCGTTCTCCTTGCCGCCATGCTCATGGGCAGTTGATAGGTGGAAGTAAGGTGTAGGATCACGTTCGCTTGTACGCTTGAGCTCCCTCTTGCTATCGCGCTTACTTTCACGTTTGCTCTTCTTCTCGGCTTTGCTGTTCCTCTTGTTGTTACGCTTCGTGTCAACCCTGTCAAGATTCAGTGGCGGTAGGGTGTATTGGCTTTGCGTGACTGTTTTGCGCCGCTCAGCCTCTTCAATGTCGTGCTCCTCGGCAGAATACACACTGTCGCTCATCTCAGCATCCTCAAAGACCTTGCTACCTATAGTCGTAGTTAGTATTACGCATCGAGACGATCAAAGCTTCTACAAACTCACCCGTGAGATCATTGAGGCTGGCCTTCAGATCATACGCTCGAAGACTCGTGCGTGTACTTGCACGGCGACGAAATCCACCAGACGCTGGACCAACGGTAGTCCCCGGTCTACTGTAAGATTTTTCTACTTTGCTCCGTGGCGGCGAAATCGCTGTATGTGGTCGGTTGGTTCGGTATTTACGAAGGCTTCCTGGAAACTCCTGGCTAGGTGATTCTACCAAATCTGGAACATCTGGCGTGTTTTCCCTTCCATCAATAACACTGTCATCTGGCCTGACAATGGTATTCCGCGAGAGAGGTGATAATGCATTCCTAGAAGTAGACCTGGTTTCATTGATGAAGGCAGGTGGCGATGTGTAAGTGGATGATGATGCCCTGAATCCAGCGCTGAAGAACGGTGACTGGGCAGAGGCTCTTTTCCGAATATATGAGCTCCGCTTTTCATCTATCGTCCGTCGATCCATGAGACTGCTGCGACGCGAGCTGGGTACTACTCTGATGCTACGACGGGCTTCGGTTGGTGTTGTGACAAAGGTCTTGTGTTTCCGTGCTGCAGGTGATTGTGCAAATGCCGAAGGTGCCATAGAGAAGATGCTCGTGCACCTGGTAGTATATGAACTGGTACTCATCGGTCGACGAATAGACGAAAAGTTTGTGTTGCTCCGAGAGGGCGAGTAGGTGTGACGTCCGTGGCCCATTCCCGTGATACGTCTATTGACTGGAAGTCCCGTGCTGCGATGGATCTGATCATGATACACGGTCGTGGTTCGGCGTTTGTGCTTGCGGAAGTCATCAGATCTTTGTGATCCTCGCTTTGCTAGCTCCACAGGAATCTTCATCGAGTCAGGTGGGTGTTGTGATGGGGTGATGTCATTGTGTATTCCAAAAGGAGACTCTTCGAAGATATCCAGTATGCGGGTACTGATATCCCCGATCGAATCAGTCAACGAATGGCTATTACTCCTGTTTCGTTTGGCGGGGAGATTGAGATCAAGCTTTGGCGGCTGTTCTGGGGTACGCTCAACATATGGGTCGTGTGCATCTTTGCCCTTCTCTAGGTCCTCATCCGCGTGCATATCCATGTGATTGTCCGGCCATCCGTATGGTATGAACATTGGTCGACTGATTTCCGACTTTCTTGGACTTCTGGGTCGCCTCCGGTTGATATAGCTACCCGAGTTTCTTCTCCTTCGGAATATACAGATAACAAGAGCAACCAATAAAAGGGCCGCGAAGATACTGCCAATGACAGCGCCGGCGATTATACCATCTTTGTTTCTTTTAGAGCTTCCATGTTGAGTATTAGAGCTGGTCGAAGCATCAGAATTAGGGGGAGCAATGGCCTTGGAAACATTGATGTGAAATGCCTGAGTGTCGTGTGAACCACCATCTGCCGACGTCGCAGTGATCAAACACTCGACATTCTGCGTCGCAAAATCACTCGGTATGGCGCCTGAAATTTTGAAAGTATCAGGGTCGAAAGTGAGATGGTCTGACAGAGCCGAGAAATCGATGGTAACCCTTTCATCGCCATTTGCAAGGATAGTCCGTGGTAATACATGGTTGAATTGTTCGCCAAGCGTGGCGTTCAAGTCATCGATATTACCTGCAAAGAATTGCGAGTCGAGTATAAGGTGAATAGTGTAATCGGCAAAGTCTCCAAACTGATCTTGCGCAGTAACGACAAAGTCTTGTGATGTCGCGTCGGCGGGCGCCTCGCCTGATATCGCAAACGTCTCCTTGTCGAATATCAGCCAAGAGGGTGTGTCGGCCGTGATAGACTTTATATCGCTATCACTGATTGAAGCAGCGTCTAGAAACAGTTTTGACTTGATGTTGTTGACGCTGATACTCTGCCCGTTCGCTGCGTTGATCGTTTGGCCGAATGGGCTAAAGCCAAACGTATGTTGGCTGATTGATATTGTGAAAGAGAGTGAAGAGTCAGTAAATCCGGGAGTGTAGCTGGCTATCATGAGTATTTCCAAAGATTGCGAGATTGTTGTTGCCATTGTAGTTCCTGTGAAGCGCATCGATGATGGGTCGAATCGAATCCACGCGGGGAGTGGAGTATGATCCGATAGCATCGCATAGTAAGATAGTTTCAATCCTTTAGAATCAAATGAGTCGGAAGGAAAGTCCACCGTGAATGGCGTGGATGGCTTCAGCGTGACAGTCTTGGGTCCGGTGAGTTGGCCAGCGGCAGACAGTGGCTCAGATATGTCTGCTTTTGCAACGGGCTCACTATCTGTAGATACGTATAGTTTCGATGCCATACTCGCGACTGAACCATCGTCTCCAGTCGCCGTAATGTTGAAGGTTGCGAAGCCTGCATCGCTGGAGCCTGGGGTACCGGTAAGCATCCGACTTTCGTCATCGAGCGACAGCCAGGAAGGATTCCCTGTCAGCGCATAGTATAGTATCTCTGATCCCGAGAAAGTTGTAGGGGCAAACTGGTAGGTGAAAGATGATCCAACTCGAGCAACTGGCGGAAGCTGTTGATCCCAAGGATAGTTGATTTGCGCTGCCGCTGCGGCCAGCAGCGGCATCAGGGCGATACAAAGCACAACCTTTGCCATCGCACTTTCTGCTGGCTCGATATCTCTCAGGAGGTTTGTCGTATGCGCTTACAGCAAGAACGCCATTGTGGCAAAATCTGGAGGGCGTGGGTCAAAAGAGGTGCACACATGCTCAAAGCATCCCACACACGCAGCCACCTTTGCCAGGAATTCAGGAATTCGATCGCGCGCTGATAACGCGCGATCGCGTCGAAGTGGGTGGTGCCTTACATTCTCCCCAGGAGATATCTGAAGAATGTGTAGAGGGGTTGCTACGGCAAGGGATGGACTATCCTCCCACCTCAGCACACTTGCGCCCAGTTTGCACGATGTCTTAGAAATGGACACGAACGCCACGTCTACGTGTTCGATATCTAGAGGAGTTATCCGCAGTGTATAGTCTGTTTGCGAGGGCAGGAGGCACTTTTTCCGACTGTCGTCTTTGCGGAGGTGGATGAAGTTAGGCAAATGCGCTCGAGTGCGCTCATTTTCCCAGTTCCAGCACCAGCCTCAATCCCGATCGTCCTTCGGCATAGTAAGCTGCGCGATACTCGGCTTGCTGGAATTGGCATGCTGTATACAAGGCTCTAGCTGGTTTGCGGCTCTCATCCACCCACAGATGGATACTTTGACAGCCACTCTGCTCCATCTGGGCACGAAGGGCGAGCACGAGGTGCTTGCCGAGACCCCTTTCCCTCTCTTGCTCCACGACACAAAGTTTGTGGAGCCATACTAGGCGCTTTATTCGCTGGTACACAAGATATGCGACCACATTGATGGGATCATCGTGTCTAAATGCCACTATAAGGCTAGTATTCTTCTTCTTGAGCTCAACATCGTAATTGAAATGTTCGATGGCTGGGAAGACTTTGCGTTCGAGCTTCGCGACTTTCTCTGCGACTGATGCACGCTCTTTCGTGGAAAAGGAAGTAAAGTCGCGGAGGACGAAGTCAGCCATTGCTGATGAGGCTTGGCTGATTGTCGTTGGCATGGCTAGGGGAACCCTACCGTTGGAATACACGCTCTTGGTGTTGGCTGGTAGTGGCGCGCAGACGTGTTGCTACCGGTATGCGGTACTCATCTCATCTGCCAGATGACCTGCGATTCAAATTTCCAATTCCCGAAGTTTGCCAAACCCCCGAAGTCGTTGTGATTGCCCGATTATCGGAGTAGCAACAAGTCGTTTAAATTGCCAGATGGCGAATGTGGAGAGCACGTGCTAGCGCGACACAGGCGGCCACTCTTTCCGTGTTGACGCGTCTAACGTCACGTCAAGCCGTCGGATCAACATGAGCCTTTGAGCCTTGATCTCACACTGCAAACGAGCCTAGATTTAACGGTCCAGTGATGAAGTCACGTCAAAATTCGCTACATAGGCTTTGAGCCCCAAAATCACGGAGTCATGCCAGGAAAACGAAAGAGGCCATATTCGGACATTGACTTTACTCTTAAACGTGTGTTCAAGAAGCCTGTGTTCCGGTAATGGGGATGAAATCTGCTATAGAAGATATCTACTAATGCTACATCGTAGTCCACTTCAGCGCGAGGTCATCATAGCTACACTAGAAGGCGAAGATGTCTTTCTTCAGGCTGCAACATCGTTTGGGAAAAGCTTGTGCTATCAACTCCCCGCTGTCGTAGACTTTGGTAGTAAGTGGAACATCTACACCATCCGATCTTGCACTAAGAAGATGAAAGTTACGATTGTAATATCTCCACTACTAGCATTGATGAACAACCAAGTTGCTTCCATGCGTCACGCCAACATCCGCGTCGAAACCATCAACAGCACAACTTCTCAAGAGGACCGTGCCAGAATCATCGAGGACCTCCAATGTGGCCACCCTCTGACCCGTCTCCTATATGTTACCCCAGAGTTCTGCCAGGGCGACCATTTCCGCAAGATCCTCCGGGTCATCCATTCCCAGCGTGAACTAGCCCGTATTGCTGTAGACGAAGCCCACTGCGTCAGCGAATGGGGCCATGACTTCCGTCCATCCTTTCAGCAACTATCCTTCTTCAAAAAGGAGTTCCCCGATGTTCCCATCATCTGTCTCACCGCGACAGCAACCTCGCGGGTCCGCGACGACATCATCAAAACCCTTGCCCTGAACCCCCAGAAACTGCGCATGTTCCGCATGACCACCAGCCGACCAAACCTCCACTACGAAGTCCGCTTCAAATCCGAAGAAAACGGAGACCACTACGACGACTTCCTCTCCTGGCTCAAGGCCGCACACGCACGTCGTGCCGACAACGCAGCCCGAGCCTCGCAACTCGCAAGCACCAACCAGCGCTCCACCAACGTCGCAGGCATCATCTACACCCTTTTCCGACGCGACTGCGAATCGCTCGCTGCACGCCTCCGCGCCGACGGCATAGGCGCAGTACCCTACCACGCCGGCCTATCGCACGCAGAACGCGCAGACGCACTGGCAGGCTGGGTAGCCAACAAAGAAGGCTACGACGTCGTCGTTGCCACCACGGCGTTTGGCATGGGCATCGACAAGGAAAACGTCCGCTTCGTTGTCCACTGGCAGATTCCAAAGTCCTTTGAAGGCTTCTACCAGGAAGCCGGGCGCGCAGGCCGCGACGGCAAAGCAAGCGTCTGCATCCTCTACTACGGCCGCGAAGACCGCGATCGCGCTGCCAATTTACTTGCGCGCGATCAGGCACGCCAGGCTGGCGGGCCGGCCTCGAAGAAAGATTTACATGTACGTGGCAGCACTGCTGGCTACGGTGAGCATGTCTCGGCGCAGCAGGGTATGCTGCAGAATCGCGCAAAAAGTCTGCAGGCGCTGGTCGAGTACTGTGAGAGGACGGATGCGTGTAGGCATGGGCTCATTGCACGGTATTTTGGCGACGAGGAGGTGCCTGAGTGCGACTTTGCGTGTGATTGGTGCAAGGATGCTGAGGCGTTGGTGAGGCGCAAGGAGGGCGGGTTAGCGAGTGAGGAGTGGTGTAGTACGCAGAGGGCGGAGGGGAGGTATAATGTTGATGAGTATGATTGAGTCATGTGTATGTGTGTGTGTGTGTGTGTGTGTGTGTGTTGGGTATGACTATGGATATGGGTTTTCTCGGCTTGTTGGGGATTGAGAGGTGAAGAGCATGATTAGCAGCAGAAAGTTGTATGCAATGGTGGCTCTGGAATCTCTTGTTGAAAGTATCATGTCTTCTGTATCCAAATAGATCATCCGAATAAACAGTCTAGATGAAGTACCACTGCGGCGCCCATCAACGCCGTTACATGCATGCTCTCTTTCTCATCAAAGTCGTTTATGATAGCCGTTGTATGCATGACATCGTAACCTCATCCCCGTCTTGTATCCCCATCTAGCATCCCATGCGCACCATTCCCCAACAGCTTCCTCTCTCCCGCCCTTTTCACAGCCTAGCCAACAATCAGCGCCGCACTAGGCACCATACCGGCCTCCTTGAGCGTCAGGCCAAAATCCGTCTTGTCGTACGTCTTCTTGGGGAAATTCGTCGTAAACGTCTGCACGACCACGCCCTCGGTCTCCAAGGCATGTGCCACCTCAAACAGTGTCGTTTCGACGGGGAACGTCTTCATGACTCTTCCTTGGCTCGTCTGCAGCGCCAGCCTGGCCTCGGTGTAGGCACTCGCCGGCTTACTCGTCGTCGGGCCCGAGGAGGTGGCGAGTGGTGCCTGGGCGGGGGCAGGGGGAGGTGCTTGGCCTGCTCGAGCAGCCTTTTCGAGTTCAGCTTTGCGCTTGCGTTCTTGCTTGTCTGCCTCGAGTTTGGCCAGGACACGCTTGCGGGCCTCTTCGTCTGCCTTCTTCTCTGCGCGCTTGGCCTGGGCTTCCTTGAGGCGCTCCTTCTTCTGTAGCTCTTCCTTGATCTCCTGGCTCTCCTTTGTGGCCTTGAGGCGAATCTGCTCGTTCCTCTTGCGTTCTTCCTTCTCCTGCTCGGCCTGGGTGGCGCGTTTGAGTGCGAGCTTCTCCTTGAGCTCTTCCAGGCGCTGCTTCTTCTCTTCTTCCGTCAGGGGCGCGATTTCCTCGGTTGATTGGGAGAAGTTCTCGTGGCCCGTCTTGGAGGCGTGCCATTCGGCTTGTGTGGTGGAGCGGAGTTTGCGGCCGCAGTCGTCGCATACGAGGGATTTGGCTTCTTCGCCGGCGGAAAGGGCGGGGGCTTCCTCCGAGGCGAAGGCATCGACGGCGACAGGAGCGGAGGAGGCAGCGGAGGAGGCGGAGGCACGTTGGGCTTTGATTTCGTCGAGGGACTTTTCTTGATTCTTGTCCAGCCAGTCAATGGCACCAGAGAGATTGCCAGAGACTGTGAGGGCAATGGTAGCGCGCTCGCGGTCGAAGCCCATATCAACGAGCTGGTCTAGGTCGGAGGGCATGTTGGCGTTGGTTGATTTGGTGTGGGGAGTGTGGGGAGAGTGTTGGAAGAATGGTGGAGAGCTAGAGGTAGCTATCAGAGCTCTGGTGGGGCGACTATGGTGCAGGTGAGGGGTGGCTCGGATACCAAGTCTATGGGAGAATGTTCGGGTGGCGTGTCGAGAAGTGGTCGAGGATTTGGAGTGACGAGGGGAAGTGGTCTTTGTAGTTTGGAGTGAACGCAGGCAGAAACGGTGGTGCTGCGTGTTCCGGTACCGGTACCTGGAGGGCTAAGTCATGGCAAGTCATGGTGAGCCATGGAATATGGGGATTCCTAGGCCGGGGTGTTACCGTGGTTAGGTACCCCGTAGGTACGGTACCGGTACTGCATCTGTTCACGTGGTACTGGGTCTAGGAAATGCGGTTCACCCTTTCTTTGGGGGCTTTCATTCACTGCGATTGCTAGATCCGGACATGCATGTCAGGCTGCAGATAGGACGTTTAGCAGTAGTTGTGTACTTGTGTGTATACCCATCCCCATGCCTATGTGTTGAGTGTGCAGCAGTCGAGTAGTGTCTTGTCTTGTCTTGTCTTGTCTTGTCTTGTCTTGTGCAGTCCACGCTGGCCAGGGTCACTAATAGTACAAGCGGGCTGCTACTACAAGCGATTCAACCTGGTGCAATGGAGCGTCACTGGTTTCGTCATTCCAACTAGGTACCAGCACTGGCTCATACTCCCTCTCCTCTCACTGAAAGCGAGATCGTCATCGCCATCATCATCATCATCATCATCATCATCCAAGAATATCCAACAACATCTTCAGGTACTTCTAGACACACCCCCTGCGGTACACCTACCTAGACCTCCTCGTACTCTACGCGCTTCACCTCAGCCACAGTGCCACTAGAGCCCTCTTTTGTTTGCCGTTGACGCCTACCTTCTCCCGACAACCACGCAATCACCGTGGTCGTGGTCGCACTGTTGTGTAGATACTAGAGAGTACCTGCCCTGCCCGCCCCTGCCCGTCACCCTCGGTCGTGCCTTGGTCGCGCGCCGCTCGCAGCAACAAACCGGCGTTCCACTCCCGATCACCACCAACAACACGCCGCCGCCGTCGCCGCCGCCGTCATTGCTGCACACGCACCACCCCACGCATCCCAGCCATGTCTCTCGAACTCGATCCCGTCGAGCTTGGCTTCAAGCGTGAGTAGTCAGCCGCTTGCCATGGAGAGCATGCGGGCAGCGAGTCTGAATAATGGTTAATCTTGGCCACAGGCCCGTTCCAGCACGAGGTGTCGCAGACCCTTCGCCTGAAGAACCCACATTCGGACCCCGTCGCTTTCAAGGTAGGCAGCCCTCCCCTCTGGCGCATTGCACGCCATCACCGCTGTGCTGCCACTCGTCTCCATGACCATAGCTGACATGGCCAGGTCAAAACCACGGCTCCCAAGCAGTACGACAGCCCCCCCCCCCCCCCCTCCCCCCCGCCCAAGGAGGGGGAAGGAGAAAAAGCGGG